AACTCCGCTTCACTTGCTCATCTCCAGACCGGCACCCCCCCTCCTTGTCTTGCCCCCTTTACTCCACTGGTTGGTCAGACAACCTACCCGACTGTCCGTTCGAGTTAGTCCCTTTATGTCCGTGGGGCGGATTCTTCTCATTTTCCCACCTTCGATTTTTGGCCGGTTTCGCCCTTCGTTCTTCGCCCTTCAAGATACTCCCTTCCTTCCCTGACAATATATCCCACTTCGAATAAGAAGTTGGGGGGACCAGAAAATATCGAGCGGGCGAAATTAATTAACCTATATTTATTTGACTTCTCCTGGCATTGATCTATAGGGCCCGGGTTCATCTAATCTTTGCTGGTGTATCGTATCATACTGTGCTATCTCCGCAGACACCAGTCGAAGCTTCCCTGACATCTTTGCCCCCCCCCCCCCATCTCTACCTCTCTCGGACACGGCACCAACTCATCTGGATTACCCTCTCCACCCCACATCGCACTCATCGTTGTATTTACCACGAAGCATCAATCCCACAAAAAAATTGGGACCGGTCAAAAATGTCCGCAACATCATCGCCACAGGTTGCAGCTCCCACATCTCCCCCGCGCGCTGGGCGTCTACGAGGCCTCTCGTACCTTCGTCATTACGCCCATGGACACGCCCACTCCCCTTCACAGGCCGCTCCCACTGTTGTTACGGCTGCCAATGTCAACTCAAGCAACGGGAATGCCACCACCTCTCCTCCATCTCTAGTTCAGCAACCTACATCACCCCCAACTGCGGCGGCTGCTCGAGCTCGGTCAACTTCCCCGTTGAACAACACAGCGTCGAACGCGTGGCTACCCACGGTCAGCGGGGTTAGCGGCTTATCCCGTGTGGCTTCACAACCTTCTGCAGAGCTATCTACATCTACTGGGGTTGTCACTTCAAATGGTTCGTCCAATGCTCGCTCAATTCCCAGTTCAGCTCCTGCCGTGCGCTCCATTGACGAAGCTCTGTCTACTTCTCCAGATGCTGGCCCACCTACACATCAACCGAATCACCCTCCCTTGGTTCGCTCACCAAGCAATACTCCTCGCGCCGTTCAGCCTTCCGACCCGGCTGCTTCGATACGATTCGTTCCCCATGTCGACACGCGCGCTACTCGTGAGTCGTTGGTTTTTACACCCATTGAGCGCATATTACGGTTCAAAGATGAGCGCATCAGGGTCGGTCGGTACAGTGATCGTGACCAGGCAAACCCATCTGCCCCGGTAGGGTTCAAATCAAAGGTAGTTTCGCGCCGGCATTGTGAATTCTGGTGTGACAACGGCCAGTGGCACGTTAAGGATGTAAAGAGCTCTAGCGGCACTTTCTTGAACCACGTAAGGTTATCTCCGCCTGGTGTGGAGAGCAGGGCGTATCCGCTGTACGATGGGGATATCTTGCAGCTTGGAATCGACTTCAAAGGCGGGGAAGAGCAGATATTTCGGTGTGTGAAGATTAGGGTCGAGTTGAATAGAGCCTGGCAGAAGGCGCTTAATAATTTCAAGTATATATTCGATCCCTGGAACGTGACCGGTATACCGGTGGCCGGGTGAATGTGTTGACAAATTTGTGTGTAGTATGTCTGCTCATCGGCGGATACGCAACTTGGCAAAGACCAACTTTAGTGGCAACAAGGCCAAAGACGGAGATACTTCGTCTACTCATACCTCTGAATGCTCGATTTGTCTCATGCCAGTCGCGGTACGCCTTCCCCCTGTCATGCCTAGCTTCCATCCTTTGGGTGGGTGCTCCGACTGATGAAATTTCACGTGTTGAAATTTATCGGAAGAAAAAAAAAAAAAGAGAAATGCTGATTCTTCAATAGCCCTGTCAATCGCTTTTCGTTGCACCGTGTTCTCATGTATGGCATTACAAGTGCATCCGGCCCCTTGTCGAGAAGGAATACCCGACCTTCCTTTGCCCGAACTGCAGGGCTATTGCCGATCTCGAGAGGGATATCGAGGATGATGATCTCGGGGAGGAACTCTGGGAGTCAATGGGGGATGTGGTGGATCAATTTACCGATGACCAGGCGGGGAGAATTACACATGCCCTAGAATCTGTGCAGCTAGGTTCGCCGGAAGGTGATGGCCCGCCTAGGGAGGATGCACAGGGTGGAAATGTTGTAGAGGGCCAGGAGCCTGAGCCAGCTGGTCACGGTGTCCCTGCGCCTGCGGAACTTCCCTCCAGATCAACTAGCACCCCGACCACCCACCCCGCCACAGAAGCCGCCCCGTCCCCGATCGAGATCCAACAGACCCCGAGCGGCTCTTGGAGAAGGCGCGGAGAACGGGTCACGGACCTTGATCTCCGCCGGGAGGGCGAACCCCAGACCCCTGAACCTGACAAGACGGGTAGTGCGAGCAATGGGAATGGCAGCAGCGGAGAAGGTGGTCAGGATGGGCCAATGACCCCGATGAACGATGCTGGCCCGTTTGTATTTGACGGCAGCGCAATGGACAGTGCATCGGCCGCCGTCCTACCGGCAGTGACCAATCCCCCAAGCTCCCTCGATGACAGCTCGGATTGGAGATCTGCTGTACCGAATTAATACCTATACCATTTACAGGTTGCTTGTCAGAAACACGCAACCCTAAGTCTTTCAAAAAAGGGTCCGGCAAAAAAACAAACAAGCAGACAAGCAGGACACGAGCAAGAACCTTTAAAAAAAACCCCCCGAAACGAGATGAGAGATGCCCGAAATGTGTTGTGGTGGACCCGCCAACTTGCACTGGCGAGCGAAACGAAGCGAAACGAAACGATGAAACAATGGGATTAATAAAGAGCTGGAAGGGGGAAGGGACTTGGTTGCATCATCACCATTCATGGGTGTTTTCTCATGGCTTCTTTTTCTTGCGTTTTCTACTCTACATTGCTTTATTGCTCATTCATTTTTTTTTTCTTTTTTTCCCCATTCAGCGAGTTCTTAATGGAGTTTTTTTTTCCCCATGTGTTTTGGGTGGGTTTGATTGATTCCTTGATTGATTGGCTACGATTACACGAGTGTCACGGGACAGGTGCTTACCTGCTTGCCTGCTTACTTGCTTGCCTACTTGCTTGTATGGTAGGTAGGGAGGGGAGGAGGGAAGCTCTTTGTAATTAAGAGGTCTCCTTTCGTTCTTGGCAGTTTGAATGACACGGCTTTGTGCTGAGTGGAGTGGAGTTGGAGGTAGTGGAGTTTAAAGAGGGAAATTCGCCAAGGTCGAGTGAGACTGTGAGATTCCGGATGGAGCAGAAGAAATGGTTAGATATGTTGGCTTATGATATATATGGTAGTCTACTTAAATTCTATACCTAAAACATGACTATCAAATTATTATTCATAATTTACCGGGTTACCATTTACCATACTGTAGCTTACCATCACATCGAACCCAGAAAAAAAGGTTCAGCGGGGTGGGACAGAGAAGACACATCTCACCTCTTTCCTCCGTCCGATCTGGCCCGCTCACCTCCGACCCCATAACCCACCGCTTCCGCCTCTCGGGCCATAGTAATGATTCTCCAGCCACACTTACAGTCCCCATTTCCTCCCTCTCGCTAACCAACTAATCAGCCGGCCTGACTTGGGGGGGGGGGAAGAAAAAGAAAAAGTAAAAAAAAAGCAAACTTCGATAACGGCAGCCAAAAAGCTAAAAAGTTCGATCCCCGATCCCTCCCTGCCGCCAACAGACAATCGGGAAATCAAACCCAGCATCTAGACAAACCCCCTGGGTACCGGCCATTTGTCCATTTCGCTCTCTATCTCGCCAACCATCTTTCTGGGCAGACGCTCACCAGTGAAATACTGCACCCGTAGCTAACCACGAAAAGAAGGGGAAGGTATATTGAAGCAAAAGATGGATCCGCCCGCGACTCCCGAGTCTGGACTCTTCCACCCGGCAAGGGATTCGATGCAGGTGCACTCCGAGACTCCTAGTGGCTGTAAGGGTTTCCTCCTTTTGTTTGATTTAGGAGCGCCATACCCTAGTTTATCTTACCAGGCGTTACTCATACGGCCTAAATAATTCCCTTATATTTTTTTAATTTTTGGTCTTTACTTTCTCACGGCACTTTCTGGCTTGGGATTTGGCTGAGATTCAAGACTTTCTAGATACTTCTTCGAACGAGGATCACTTCTCCGATGCACCAGAGGGTCCCGATGCCGCTGCCGGAGGAGATAATACCAAGTTTCTAGTGGCATCACCACAGTTCCTGCCGTCATTGTCTTCGATACCGCTGGTGCTTGTGGAGAAGATTGATGAAAGGCCGAGTCACGGGGAAGTGCCTGGTACGGAAGCATTTGAGAAACGAACGGCGGATGCGAGCCCAGACGTGATACGTATTCAACAACCGCCAGATCTACTAGTTGCCGCTCCCGGGGTCGGTGATCCTAAGGGCAAGGAGCAAGAAGTGGAAGAAGAAAGAAAGTCAGGGGCAGAAACACCAAGATCCAAAGTCCCCATTACCATGGTCGAACGAGTCGATTCCACCCCCGCTCACGGGGAAATCCTAGGAACAGAAGCGTTTGCAAAGCGACTTGCCGACGCGGCACCAGATGTTATCCGAACCGCTACTTCCTCGCCCATTCCCATGACCGTTGTTTCCGTCATTGACTCGGACAAGCCACTGTATGGGGAGGTCCTTGGCACTGAGGCTCATAAAATGAGGGCTGCGGATGCTCAGCCAGACGTGGTAGTTAAGTGGAACGAGGAGGAGGATAAGATTGCAAGGAGGGTTAGGGGTGAGAGGGAGAGGATTGAAAAGTTGATGATGGATCCTGGGAGAGCGAGGAGCGTGAGCCCCGGGCAGGGACCGGGAAGTGTGGTTCCCGTGGTGAAGGGGAGGATGGACTCAGTTTCTAAGATTACATTGCCGATTGGGGAAGTGAAGGGGAAGAAGGAGGGAAAGGCAAAGGATGTTAATGGGGTTGAAAAAGAGGGGGAGGGGGGCGGTGTGGTTGAGGAACAGTCGTTAAGGAGTCGATCATCGTCTATTTCTTCACGGAAGTGTGGGTCACCTGTACTTGATGAAAGCCCGGGAATCAGTGTTGACGCCCTTATCGGGGTGGGAGTTGAGGAGGCAAAGGAAGTAGCTGCGGAAGAAGCGAAGGTAGAAGAGGTTAAGGAAGAAGCTAAGGGCCAAGTAATAGCTGATATTAATGGGGGAGATAATGGAGAGGCGGGAGATGAGGAGGAGGGCCGAGTAGCAAGGAGAGAAGAGGAAACTACAACAGAGGAAAACGAAACAAGGGGAGAGGGGGCGGGCGACGGCGACAATGGCTTTGGGGATGATGACTTTGACGATTTCGGCGAAGTTGTAGAAGGTGGGGATTTTGATGATTTTGGAGGGTTTGGTGAAGCAGAGGCCTTTGTGCCACCGCCCATTGAGGCATCTCCGCCACCACCCCCGCCTCCACAAATTCCGATTATTCCTGTACCGGTACTCGATCTCGAGAAGCTGGATAATGAGGACACTATCCGCCGAGCTGCTGCGGAGGCCATGGCAATAATGTTCCCGATCGACAAGGAAAAGTACCAAAACATCTCTCCAATATCGATAGACGACAATGCGTTCCTCACGGAACGAAGGTTTGTCTATCATTTCCCTTAATCCTACCTCCGCTAATCACATCACAGTCTGTCGCTCTGGAATCAACTCTCCGCACCTCCGCCATTACAGCCACCTAATTGGAAGATATCTCGGATCCGCCGTCTCTTCCTTGTCTCCCTTGGTGTGCCCGTAGACCTGGACGAAATCCTCCCTGCCGAGACCAAACAAAAGAAGCTAGTCCTACCATCCGTCAACATCGCACGCAAGTCAATCGACGGGAGCGCCAGTCGTAGGAATTCACGCTCGAGGTCACGGGTACGTCGATCTACTTCCTCCAGTCGGAGGAAAAGTGGGGTCATCGGGCCAGAAGCATTAGATGTACCAAGCGCTCGTATCCTGTGCTCCACAAGCGACGTTGCGCTCCAAGGTCTCACAGCCCAGGAATTGAAGGAGCACATCAAGAAGCTGGAATCAATCACCAGTACCGCAAGCGAGGTACTTACCTACTGGCTCAAGAAGCGGGAAGGCGCTATTAGTGATAAAGAAACCTTCGAAACCGTCATTGAGAGTTTGGTAGGGTACGCCCGTAAGAAGCGGCAGAATGGTTGATGGTCACATCTATGTACACACTTGCAAATCCCTTCCACTAATCCAGGAGGAAGAAAAAAAAGTGCGGCACGGTTGTTCCTTTATTGCTTGCTCAGGGGACGAACTGCCGCATGGAGTTGGGAGGAGGGCGATTGAGGGTTTTTGCACTGGGGCGCTTGTTCTCCTTTCCCTTTTCGTCCTTCCTGAATTATTTTTCTTGTAATATTAGTGACTACTGAACGAGTACCGGTAGGATTCGCAGCGAGTCACCACTGTTGTATCCTATAGAAATAATATCGTTATGGTTCGTTGAATTTCGCTCCAGCAGGAGTTGGTTTTTTTTTTTTTTTTAATTGCCCTTTTTTCAGCGCTCTAGGCAGTGAAAATGTGTATCGGGGTACATGCCATGATCCCCAACGCTTCCTCATCCGACGAACATGATGCTACCTACCGTACAGGACTAGACGCATCCCATTATGTCAGTTATGTGAAAGATTGGCATGGCCCAAGTTGCAATGATGGGGCGCTGCAGGTGTTAGTCGGAAAGATGGCGGCAGGGGCGTTATGGGTTGCGCCTCTCGACAATCCCTAGTGTTTTGTGATGATGGATTGACGAATGAATGGATGGGTGAATGAGTGCGGGCTTGCAGCCACTGTGGATGGCGACGGGGGAGAGATGAACCAGCGGAGGGGGGCGGGGCTTTATATAGCTAACTATCCACAGAAACACTGCCCACGCTGTGGCCTCAGGTTCGGATTGCTAGGGAGGGACCCTAGTCCGACACGTGCTTCTCTGGAACCGCATCTCATCATATCTACGGTATCGCACTCGACAGGCACAGTAAGTCACCCTCGCTCACTCGCAGGTTGGACGACTTTCCGTGACCTCGCGGGTCGAGAGTCCTTTTCGGCTAGGTTCACCAGTTTTTGTGATGGTGAGACAGAGTTTCCGAATATTCGGCAACGCTTTCGTCATTGCGCGATTTGAGCATAAACCGGATTGGATGGGATGTCTTTGGCGTGTGGAACTGTTGTTGTCACTGTTGTTGTCACTGTGCGAGTACTCGTACTGTATCATATATACTAGTAACTTTATTGACCTCTAGGATCCTCGTTTTGTGATAGGGATGAGTTGGCTTAGTGTGAGAAGAAACGAAGCATGGTACACTGTGGTGGATATCGTGTGTTCCTCCTCCCATGAAGAGCTTTCCTTTGTAGGTTTTCCCCATGAGGTTAATGGACATTACACGCTCCTTCAAGCTCTTTGTCCCTGGAGTTGGGGGTTGGGGAGGGTCAAAATCACGGCGGGGTTCGCTCTGACATCATCCGAACGAGTTGGGTGGGCCTTGCCCAGGTCCCAGGATCTGATCCGGAGTGCCAAGAAAACGGCCATACCAAAACCAGGAACAGAAACGAGGTTTAAGTTACCGGTATTTGAGAAAAAAAAAAAAAAAAAAGTCACCATCGGCCCTTGTGCTACAAACAAAAATTATTGCTGGTCATCCATGTCAGGATGATAGGTTACCCTATGCGAGCCTGTAGAGTACTCGTAGGGATGATCCCGCCACTGTGCTCTACCGGTATCCTTCTCCCTCCCCTCCCTGTTTTCCTCTGCCTCCTCTCGTTCTCTCGAGCTCATCGAGCGAGCAAGAGACAGGATGAGTCCTTTACCTTCACATACGAATGGCGCTGAGGTGAGGAAGGGGACATTTCCGCTGAGTAACTCTTCGAGGCAGAAGCCTAGGAAGTTTGTCCTCCTGCGAATGCTTGTATGGGCTGAGCTCACGATGAGATAGGTGGCCGCTGGTGTTTCGTTTCATCAAGGGAGCTATTCACCATGGTATTGACCGCCTATTCCCACCATCAAAGCCCTGCGAACAGCTAATCAAGACCTAGTGATCCTGATACCCGTCCTCCTTCACACTCTCTTCACCGTAGCTGTCGTGCTCGTCCACCGCCTTCTCGGTGTAGACCTTGCTCTCCCCTCCTCCATTGTTCCCTCCCTCTCCATCGTCGTTGGTCTTATGCTCGTTTTCCGAAATAGCAGCTCCTACGAGCGTTACTGGGGCGGCCGCACAGCCTTGCAGCAGATTGTTAACAACGTTCGCAATCTCGTTCGCTCCTTCCTCGTCTGCGGACCCCTCTCCGACGAGTCGGATAGGGCCGAGACGGAGAAGACTGTGAAAACCCTCGTTGCGATGCTCTACGCTGTCAAGAACCACCTGAGGGGGAATTGGGAAGCACCGGCATTCCAGCCAGAGTTTGCTAGTCTGATGCCCGAGGGGTTTAGAGGGCATGAGGCGGAGGGTGTGGGGTTACCGATGGAATTGGCGTTCGTGGTCGAGAGGTATATCAAGAGGGGCGTTAAGAAGGGGGCTTTTAATGCGCCGCAGTCGGCTAATTTGAGTGCGTCGCTGAATGCGGTTATTATGGCTTATGGGAATATGGAGACTATTAAGTGAGCGGCTGTTGGTGAGTTAGGTTTTTGGAGTGAGTCACTAATGGTAGCTGTAGATTGACTCCCATACCTGTTTGTCAGCAGTAAGTTGTCCTGGTGGGGGTGAGCGAGCGCATGTGTCGATTGACATCGTTAGGATCCATCAAAAGCAGGTGTTGGCCTTATACTGCTGTATTCTTCCGTTCTGCCTTTTGGACGATATGGGATGGTAGGGGCCTGGCGCGTGTAAGCCGTTACTTGGGAAGTTTTATTGACAATTCTAGGTGGACTATTCCCGTCATCACTCTTGTCTGCTTTACTCTCTACGGTATCGAGGGGTGTGTGATATCCTGTGATCGACTTGGTGAGTTTGGGCTAACATCAACTAGCATCGGAGAGGAATTGGAGGATCCTTTCGGATATGACAAGAATGATATCAGGATTGATGCTATCATCGAAGACTGCAGACTGGAGGTTATGGTTCTCCTCGAGAGCTGGAAAAAGGGTGGCGAGGAGTACTACTTGTAGGAGGTTGGAGATGATAATAATATTATGATGTAATACCCGGTGTGGCGTTTGTTTTTGGGCGTGCTGCATTTCGGTTTTTATGATACTCATTCTTAGTGCCCTTGATCGTTTTATTTTTCGTTAAACTTTTAAAATTGAGCATGGTAGGTGAGTTTTGTAGGATGGGGCTGGGATCGATGGATCTCGTTGTTAACGTGATGTCTTATGTAACTTAGTGGTCTATCATAGCAATGAAACTTGGATTGCGGTGGCTTTGGGAGAAGCTCTGTGTTGCTGTCATGGGCCCATGCTCACCTGTTAGAATGAGGAATCATCAGGGCCATGTTCCCATCGGTCTTTCATACACGGGGAGGTCTTGTTCTCAGTGCCCGGAGTGGATTCGGGGTTAGGGATTATCGGGGGTGTCAGGCGTGTCTTGGCTCATTGGGTTGGCATGCTTGGTTACGGTCCAGTACGGCAACATGCAAAACTTCACGTTTCCCACGCAACGCGCTGAAAGTCTGAGGATCTTTGTCCCTCTTTTCACTGTGAATCGAACATAAACGACAACAACCTTCTACTCGCTTCTTATTCCTTCGCCTTCCCGGCCTATTTAACCGTCGTCCGAAGGAATACCCTCCTTTTGATAGGAAACTGGAACCCAGCATAACCTCACGTCATGTCGGGCGCGGAAGTCAATCTGTTCGATGCCTACGGTAATGCGGCTTCCCTCGATCGCGTTGAATTGCGGAGGCTGACCGGTCGGTAGAAAAGATACAGTCGGACAAGGTTCACGATCGATCGAATGGGCTCTCCGGTGTGTGGTTTTCGTTGCATTGCGGGTGGTGGTTGGATTGGTGCTGATTTGTTCAAACCTAGATCTTAAACTCATTTTGGGCAACAGCAAGCATACGTAGCTGCTCCCCCCTCTGTGCAAGGGGGCTCAATGGCTGATCTTGGTTATCTGGGGTGTGGGGAATAGTAGGGGACTCAATGACAAAGGCTATCACAAAATGTTCGAAGCGATTTTTCGGGCAGTCGTTAAAGAGAAGATGATATATACCCGGCAGAACAAACCCTCGCTTGTCAAGTCCGTTGGCAGCAGATTGTCGCTCTGCGCATCGGTATTCCGGTTGGCGGTCGAGCAGGGGGTGGCGCATATACGGAATAAAACTTTCAAGGCGCTTTCGAAGCATGTAATTGACATACTGCCCCAGGGGGATGGGCTTTGCGAACCGATTAGTTTGGACTATATTAAAGCGCTGCGTACTTGCTTGGCATGTTCACCGCACGCGGAGCATATCGATAAGAAGGAATGGGCGACACTCGCTCGGTTTTGCTGCACTCATGTGGAATCTCAGTTAGGGCTTCTGATCGGTGACCCGGAGAGCGCGGATGAAGATGCGAGTGGGTCGAGGAATGTGCGGCTCAGCTTGTCGAGAGACGTGTCGTCGGCTTCTAGGCGTTCACAGCCGCCTTCTCAGGGTACTCCTAGGTTGAACCATGATAGTGAGGAGTTGATGTTGTGCCTAGAGATCTTGTTGAAAACTCCTAATGCTCCGATTGTTGAGCACGACGAGATGGTTGTTAGGACCATTCTCGGGTTCTTGGTTTCGCAGCCTACGGTCACTCGTGCTCATCCACCAGCGTTCACGGCGTTGAACTCGGTGCTGGAAGTTATTGCTACTAATAATATTTCCTTAACGGCGAAGGTCGCTCAAGGGATTGTTCCTGTTTTGGCAAAGCTGTGGGACTCCAAACAGCCGACTTTTAGGGAGCAGATGATGATTACTTTGATCTATATACTGCCACAAATTCGCACCATAATAAGTGAGGGCCGGTCGAGAACTCTACGACGGAAGGTGGAAGCTCTTTCAGAAGCCCTTTTCGTAGAGTGTTCTGGGCGAGCAGATCGTGATCAACTGCAGCTAGATGATCTGGTATTCCCGGACCCACTGAAGACTTTTGATGCTGAGGTAACGCCCCTTGGCTTACAAGGCTTTTGCCTCCGTAAGGGGAACCAGAGGGCCGAAATGAATTGGATAGTGCCCCAGTTGATGGCGACAGTAGTCAATATCCTAGATAGGTCTGGTGGGGGTCCGGCTGGTTCTAATGGCAAAGCGCCGGAAGAGGATCGTCACAAGAGACTCAGAGTTTCCAAGAATTTTGAAGAATTGATGCGGAATGCTCGATCCATGATTACCTCGAGGAAGCTCTGTGCACTTCAGACGTTGCCGTTCCTGGTCGGTCGGAGGGATATGGAGAGTGGAGAGCTTAGTTCTGTCTTACTAGATCTGTTTAATGCGTGCTCGGATGATAATCCTGTCATTTCGTCCTGGGCTCTGCTTTCAATTTCAAGGTGGGGTTCCTGTAGATTCCTTCATGTTTCCCGAGCTCTTGGTGTATTGTTACAAGTCTTGCCCCGGATAGGAAAGAAAAAAAAGAAAAACACGATATATGATCCTTTTTGCCCCGTTTTCTTGTTCCACTGTAGAGCGTTTCTGGGCTAATTCTGTGATATATGTAGTTGTGCATTCTCAAAATCTGCATCCGACCCCTCACATCGGCCGATTTGGAACCAGATCTGGCAGCTTTGCGCCAGGTATTCGGCAAACCAGGCTACGTGCCGGGCCGCCTGCCACCTTATGAGGATTGTACTAGCAGTGGATCTAGTGCCGTATACTGAGATATCTAAAGAGGTGGATGCCATGATATTATCTATTGATCTTAGTGGTCCTGCGAATGTTGTTGACTCGTCTCTGGAGGTTTGGTGCTTGATATTGGAGAAGAGGAATACTGTCGCGCATTCGTCGATTTTGCAACCTGGGGAGAGGCTCTTACAATGGCTGATATCGAAGTGGAGGCCTGGTATGTGGTGATTCTCTGGATTCACTTCTTGAGTCTTTGGCTGATCATGTTAGTTGATGCGCTTGAGCGCGGAACTGCTTTGTTCTACTCGCAGCATCTTTGTCCTAAGAACTTATCTAGCTTCCTGCTCTCATGCTGTGGGAAGAAGCCGCTGGACTTTGAAGCGTATCCACCTCAGCCCTGTGGGCCTATTGGACAGGCTGTGATCAGGGTTGCTCGTCATTCTAGATTGCTTAGTTTTCTACTGTTCGGAGATGAGATGGTGCCGGCAGATACGCGGGCCAATACTGCGCGGGCTAATACTCTACGAGACGCGCAGCCGACTGCACATCCTGGTGTTGAACTGCAGGTCATTGAATTTCTGGATCGGCAATGTGACGCTGTCCGGGAAAAGTGGCAGACTATGGTCGCTACTCAATTGCAGCACATTACTCCGGACATTGTCCAGAATCTTATCGGGTTTATTTGCACTGCGAGTATACTCTGCTCTGCAGTCCGACCTCGCACACGGGATAGGATCAAGGCTGAAGCCCTGGAGAAGAAATTAGAGGCGTTGAATGGGGACGCCTTGGGATATGTGGAGCGGGATGACTGCGGTGCTAAGCAGGTTGAGGGGCTGGTTAGGTGTGTTGCTGGGGTGGTTCCTAGACCTGGTGTGATTGTTGCCTCGTCATATAATGCACCCCAAGTCTTTACTGGTCAGTTTGGGCGGGTCCTGGCTGCTATATCTCGGGCTTTTGAAGAAAAGAACATCGTGAAGAGTTCGATTGACCTTACGGAGGATGGGGTCGACATGATGGACATGGACGACGGCTTCGACATGCCGGATAACGATCGGACGGTGAAGAGAGTAGATTTTTCTAGAGAATCTATTCAGGCTGCGCGTGCAGCAGAGACCTTTCAGCATTGTACCACGGCCTTGCTATCGCTGTTTGCCCTCTCAACGAAACATGATGGCTCGGGTGAGCTCTGCGGGCACTTTGTCGATTACTTGATGGGGGTATCTAAAGAACGATTGATCATGTCCCGGCCACTTATTAGGGACTTTTTATTCGCTGCAGGTGATAGATTTGCCGATGGTGATGCTGCGAACCTCACGGAGCATCTGGCAATGGCATTACTACAAGATTATGGCACCGAGCGATGCGAGACTGCTGTTCAACTTTGCATCGATGCGCTGAGTGCGCTCGTCCCTCGATGGGCCGTCGAAGGCGCGCAAGGCGATTTGGTGGCTAACTGCGAGTCCATATATGAATGGGTGACCAAGGTCGCCCTCGACAGGGCTTTAATGTCTAGCACCACCCGTATGGAAATGGCCCATCTCCTCCAACGGATTCTGGAAGTTAACCCTGAGTATGGACAAATGTCCGAGATGAAATCTGCCAGAACACAGTTCATTGGACTCCTCGCAGACGGTGACGTTCGTGTTTCCTTCGAACTAGGGAACTGCGTCCCGGTGTTGTTCAAGATCTTTGGGCTCACGGTTCACGAGACCGTTTTCAAGGACATACTTAGTCACCTGACTGATCAATCGGATTGGACGGAGGGATTGGCGATGCGGGTGTATACACTTGCGCAATTGGCGTTCACCACCTTTTCCACTAAGAAGTTGATTGTCTATCATATTTTTGAGACCGGGCAGCTCGTCGATGGGGAGAAGTACGCCGCAAAGGCCTTATCTTCTGTCGCCAAGGCTTTGAAACTGGATGGGCATAGAGATCTCTTTAAGATCTTTAGTCCTCAGTTACTGTATACTTGGATTGATAACGACGAACTCACGAGGTTTCCCTTCCGGGTGTTTGGGTATGGGAGCTTGAAGGAGTTATTTGCGGACGTCCAAGAGGACCTTGTTGCCCAGCTGTTAATGAAAGAGAAGGACGACGCATCGCAGGAGCTGGCGAAGATATTAGACGTCTCGTACAACGATTTGCTAGAGAAGGGATTCCACAAGATACTCGCGTACGGAGTCGCCGGAGCGATAGCGACACCTCCGAGGGCGGACGCGCCCCGGACTCCGAATGTGGAACTTCGCATTAGACAGCGGCTTGGGGACGAGGAGTATAAGCGGCTTTTAGAAAAGAAGTTTGCACTTATCATTGCTTCCCTATTCCAGGTTATGCAGGAAGATGGCGTATCGGATAGATTCCTGTCGAAGGACCCGTCACTCGCTGCCACCGCCGCTCACATGAGAGATATTGTGGAAATCAGCCACTCGACTGGAAAGATACCGGACCCACTGAGGCCGTACTTTAAACTCAAGGTTGTGCTCAATGCCGTGCATCATCTGTGTGGGCGATTGCATTATGATGATGCCCGTCTTTGGACGCCAGCTATGTTTACATTCGTTACTAGACGATTGCTTGACACAATGGACCCTGCGCTGGGGAGTTTGAGCGCTTGTGCTGTCGTTCGGAAGATCCGACTTCTAGTCTGTCTGGCGAATCCAAAGAGCATTGATGGCTATGCGCTCGAGATGGTCATTCATGGGCTTAAGCCTTACATTGTCGACACGTATTGCGCCGAGGATGCGGTTGGGATTGTGCAGTACCTGCTTGATCAGGGGAAGGAATATTTAACTACTCAACCGGCGTTCGTGATTGGAACGTTTTTGTCCATACTTGCTTCTCTACGGGCGTTTCTCTCTACTACCACGGGGCAGGAGGATACCCAGGTGCAGTTAAGTATCAACATTGCGCAGTCATTTCATATCTGGCTGGGGGATTACCTCACCGGCTGCCACTTCCCAGAGCTGAACGGGATGCAAAATCAATTGTTTCAGGCTATCGTCGAATCTGCTATGGGTTTCAGGTTACATGGAAATGCCTCTTCGGGGACAAAAGAGAGTGATCTGTTGCGGCATCTACTGGACGATGACAGGAATAAGGATAAACTTCTGGATGATGTCTCCCGCGGGCTGGCGTTCTCGCTGGTCTGCTCGGACTTTCAGAAGCCGGTTAGTTTCCGCGATGATATCTTTGGCAGTGACGAGGAGTCGGTTGCACGCTCTAGGGTGCTGTTGAGGACTTGCCGGAGGTTGGATGTCAGTGATGGGTTCTTGCTGTGGGCTGCTCGGGTGCTGGGAAGGTCGTATGCTGCGAGCGGGGACATACACAGTGAATGGACGCAGGAGATTGAACTGGAGAAGATTACGGACCTGGACACGACGCAGTACGATCTCGACATCATCCCCAAAGCGGGGATTTTCCAGCGACTGATGAAACTGCTGCTCAGCGACGATAGGCTAGTCGTTGGCCTTGCGGAGGCCACTCTCGAGACTATATTCTTTGACGAGTCCAGATCCCCGGGAGTAGCTACTTTCCATTATATCCTCGATGAGAAAACGTATAAGGCTATGAAGTGGAGTATCCTGCCGATGTCACTGTCCGAAGACGAAAACCCACGACCGATCGCCTCCGTTGCTAAGCCGGAGATCCTGCCCGTAAACGAATGGGTAAAGAACCTGACGACGGCGATATCAACGAATCTACAGGAGGATGCAGTGGTCAAGAACTTGAGGCCTATACTCGAGAAGGTGGGCGGCCTAGCGAAGGATTTGTTCCCATTTGTGGTGCATATACTTCTACTACATCATATCAAGGGGGATGACAAACTTAAGATGGAGCTATCACAACTTTTTAGAGATTGTTTCAGAACTTGTGCGGAGAAGACAGTACCGCATAGCATCATTCTGATTAAGACTGTGTTGTACTTGCGGACCCAGGAGACTGCTCAGGAGACCACGAAGTTGCCTAGAGATAATTGGCTAGATGTAGATTATCTGGAGATGGCGAGGGCAGCCTGTACCTGCAAGATGTTCAAGGTGTCACTCCTCTTTGCCGAAATATATCATTCGGAGTCTGGCAATGCCGAGTTTCCGGATTCAGAGCTCTTGCTGGAGATTTTCAGGAACGTGGATGATCTGGATTCTTACTATGGTGTCAGCCAAGCCTCCAGTCTTGAGACCGTCCTTAAGAGGTTCGAGTACGAGGAAGATGGTTGGAAGAGTCTTTCGTTCCGGGGGGCAAATCTTGAGAGCCACTTGAGGTTGGGTTCTACGTCTGACGGCCAGGATCTGTTTGGCGTCGTGGATGCGTTTAACACACTGGGCATGAACGGGCTCTCGCATGCGTTTTTACAGTCCGGCACGGCGGCGGATGCGTCTGAGGACACGCTAGACAACATGTTCCGCTCGGCGTGGAAACTTGAGCAGTGGGATCTGCCATGCCCTTCTTCGTGTGCTACCCGCTCCGCGGTCATATACCGGGCTTTACAGAGCGTAAATAACAGCGTCGATATGAGGACCATGCCGTCACAGCTAGACTCCTCCTTCTTCGATGTAATGCGCCAGATCACGGCCGGGAAGCAAACCGGCCACTCGCTCGGCGCTAGCATGCGAACACTAGCAATGCTAACAGAAATGGAAGAAGTTCTAGTCTCCAAGGAAACCGAAGAACTAGAGCAGGTCTGGGAGCGCTTGCAAAACCGTAATTCCTGGATGCATATAGGACGATACTCAGACGTGGAAGAGATCATGGCAATGCGCCAAACGATCCTCAGTTCTGTTTCTAAACGCGATCACTTACGACGCGCAGTGGGCGTGGACATCAAGACTGCTCGCTTCCTAGAAGCGAAAGCACTCGTAGCGTCTTGCAAGATGGCGAGGAGCCACAAGGTTCTTCAGCACTCACTCTCGGCCGCTACGCAGTTGAGCAAAGCCGCCGAATCTTGCAAGCAGGTTGGTCTCGATATCAATGCTGTTGCGACGTTACAGGCAGCGAATGTGTTGTGGGATCATGGGCAGGGGATCGCGTCGATTAGGATGTTGCAGGCTTTGGGCTTTGATAGCGCACTGGGACAGCAGAGTATTGTAGTTGGGAAGGCGAAGCTTCTAGCGAAGTTGGTAAGTTCCCAGCCATAATTAAATTATGATTCACGACTAATTGGGTTTTTTTCAATCGCCTTTTTCCAGGGAAATTGGGTATCAGAAGCCAGGCTGGAAAAGCCGGATAAGATTATGGGTAATTACCTTGTTTTCGCTATCGATGAGCTTAAGGATAACTACTCTGGCCCTGAGGCTGGCAGAGTTTTTCACGAGTTTGCGTCCTTCTGCCATCAGCAGCTACAGAATGCAGGAAACATAGAAGATTACCAACGAGCGCTCAAGCTCCGGCAGAACAAAGAGGCGGAAGTCCGCGAGTTGGAGAAATTGATGAAATCCGCCACCGGTAGCAAGCTGGAGCAGCTCACTGCCTACAGGCATAAAGCGAAGACCTGGCTGAACCTCGACGACGCGGAGTTTAATAGATACAGGTCGAGCAGTGAGGCCTTCCTGGAGAGGAGTATCTCCAATTACCTTCGCGCCCTGGCCACTTGTGACGATTACGACCATGATGCAGTCAGGTTTTGTGCTCTTTGGTTGGAACACTCCAGCGACGTCAAGGTAAATAAAGCCGCACAGGCCCCGCTCGGGAAGGTTGCGTCAAGGAAGTTCGTCCCCTTGATGAATCAGCTGTCCTCTAGACTTTTGGAGAGCCCTGAAGACATATTCCAGAGCTTACTATTTCCGCTTATCCTCCGAATATGCATGGACCACCCGCACCACGGGCACTATCAGATTCTCGCACTGACGAGGGCGAAGCCGAAAGACAATATTTCCCAGGCCCGTCAGGCCTCCGCCGTGAAGATCGCCACGAAACTGAAAGCGGACCCATCGTCAAAGTCGCTTTTCAGCCATGTCATACAGGCGACAGCAACATACATAAAATTGGCGACACAAAAGATTGAAAAGAAGCCCAACATTAAGCCAGTCCTCAAGAACGTACTAACAAGAGACGTCTACTCCAAATTCGTCGTCGACATTCCCAACTGGAAAATCCCCCCCCCAACAATGCAAATCGAGGTCCGTGCGGATAGGGACTACAGTGGCCTCCCCGTCATCGTGAAATTCCACCCGGAAATCACAATAGCCTCGGGCATCAGCGCACCAAAGATTGTAACCTGCCTCGCCACGGACGGGCGCACCTTCAAAATGCTCTTCAAGGGCGGTAACGACGACCTCCGGCAGGACGCCATAATGGAGCAGGTCTTCGAGCAAGTCAGCAACCTTCTAAAAAAGTCTCGCACAACACGCCAGCGAAACCTCTCCATTCGGAACTACAAAGTTCTCCCTCTAGCCACCAACGCGGGCATAATTGAATTCGTCGCCAACACCATCCCACTGTACGACTTCCTGATGCCAGCACACATATCCTACCACCCGCGCGACTGGAAACCCACTTACTGCCGCAAGACAATCGCAGACGTGCAGACGAAGACCCGGGAAGTCCGCATCGACGCGTTTCAGCGGGTAGCAGCGCACTTCAAGCCAGTCATGCGCTACTTCTTCATGCACAAGTTCAATGGGCCAGACGACTGGTTCTCCTCGCGACTAGCATACTCGCGGTCCACGGCCGCCATATCCATCCTTGGGCACGTGCTCGGCCTAGGCGATCGGCACGGACATAACATCCTACTGGACGAGAAGAGCGGTGAAGTCGTGCACATTGACCTCGGCGTCGCATTCGAACAAGGCCGCGTACTCCCCGTGCCAGAAGTGGTCCCCTTTCGCCTCACCAGGGATATCATAGACGGCTTCGGCGTCACGAGGACGGAAGGCGTATTCCGCCGATCATGCGAATTCACGCTCACCGTGCTGCGGAACGAGGCTTACAATATCACGACAATCCTCGGCGTCCTGCGCTACGACCCGCTCTACAGCTGGACCATTTCTCCGCTTAGGATGAAGAAAATGCAGGATCAGGTCGAGGCTGCTGCGACTGGGATTGTGGATGAGGGGATTGTCGGGGCTGGAGGTGCGGGGAAGAAGGATGAGGAGGGCGAGGCGGATAGGGCGCTCACGGTGGTCGCAAAAAAGTTGAGTGCTACGCTGAGTGTTAGCGCTACGGTTAACGAGCTTATCCAGGTGGCTGGGGATGAGAGGAATTTGGCGGTTTTATATTCTGGTGAGTGCCATTTTCCTCCCCCCTCTCTTTTTCTTCTCGTCTTCCTCTTGCTCGTTTCTTCAATTATGGGGGGTTTGCTAATGCGTTTGGTAGGCTGGGCGGCGTATGCTTAGAGCTTTGAGGTTGGTTGGTTGGTTGGTTGGTTAGTGGAAGGGTTTATTTGCTCTTGAATTTTTATGTATCCTATCTGGCGGTGGGGCGGCGGGGGCAGTGGGGGTGCCCAAGTTTTGTATATTACCAAAAAGTTTGTAGTCATGTTTTGATCGCTTGGGGAAGGTGCTGTCTGGGCGGGTAGTGCACATCATGCGATATCACTCGTGCCAATTTTATGCGGACCTGGGCCAATATCCCAGTCAGTGTGACGCCGCGAACTGCAAAGCAAGGGTGGGTATGAAGAGGTGAGACTAGGTGGCCATATGAATAGAGTAACGCGTTACAGTGCCGCTGGCTAGACGCTCCGAGCCACACCGACGCGCTAAAACTAGGCACAAAAAAACAAACAGAGCTCGTGGATGGTTAGAGATAAAGTTGAATGGAATGTTGTGAGCTAAAAATGTTCCTTCACGCACAGCCCAACTCTGACTGGTCCTGTTCCTCAAGTCTCAAATATCCTCCCCCCGCGCTACTAATTACATGATTCCTCATTATATTCTTATAGACCCTCATCAAGCGTCAAGAAATTTATCACCAAGCAGCCTGAACCTCTAGAAAGCTGCTCATTGCAGCCTTACTCATCCCGGCGCATTGTGCATCCACCCCAACTTTCCCCCGTCCAGATTTCGCCTGTGCCTTTGAGACGACTTTTCTTCTAGGGTTAACTAGAACAAGGTTGTCACCAACCGCATCAAACCCACTTGGTTGCCTACTTGTCCTAAGGGTTGCCTGCAGTGGTTTCGTCATCAGCGGTGGCTTGAACGGCTTCTGTGAGTGCTCAAATCGAATTGTCATTCCACGGTGGAGCTGTAGAGACGAGCCTTGCGTAGCGCGCCGAGCTCCGATTCCGGGGGCACGAGTACCAGTAGGGAGAGAGAAGGATTGGAACCCAGTCATGCGGCGCTTGACCCTATTCTTGGGCTCTGCTACGAATGGTGACGGTACTATTGGCGCTGGCACGGTGAATGGGTTTGGGTTAGCTATAGACATGGTTCTATCCTTCTGCCCTTGGCGGCTGAGCCCAGATGTTGTAGGGGCTTGGTCCATGTTTGTCATCGCGGGCTTTGGGAGAAAAGGACTTTTGAAACTACCGGAAATCGTGAGCCGTCGTAGTGGCACAGTTTCTCTCCGCTTGATGATATCCTTGAGCGGTATGTTGTTGTAAGTGCGGGCTGGTGTTGGGGTGGATAATGGGCTCAGGGAGTGGGTTGGTGGCTGAGTCTTGGGAACGTTCCTACTGCCCAGCTGGCCTTTTGTAGGAGTTGTACTAGTTTCCCTATTAGATCGAATCGGTAGAACTGTGAGTCGAGCATCTTCGCAATTATCTAGCATTTTCTGCGCATTTGAGAAGTAGCTTCCTCCAGGTATCTCTATAATCGCACGTAGTTGCGGTTAGCGGTTTTCTATAAAAAATCACCGTTATTGAATCACACTCCAGAACTAACCATTGATATAATCCAAATTGTCCTCACTCTCATCCCCGTCTATAGGTTTCCTGGGCTGCCGAAACGGGGGAGGTAGCATGACTCGCTCCGTCCGCGCCTGGGCTGGCTGGCCGCTCCAAGGCATAGATTTCGGAGATCCCGGAACGACTCTTGGAGGTTGCTTTAGTGGAGAAGTCAGCTCCAGATTTCCCAGTTGATAATCCTCCCACAGTTGCGCGGACTGCTTTGATGTCAGAACACGTAAATAATTATAGCCGTCAGACTTACCGAGGATAGCGAATTGCCCTCATCCACCTCTCCCTCCAAAACGGGCGAGGGATTTTTGGTCCCCTCCTCTACACGGAACTGGGGGCTGCCCTTAGGCTCTTGCATAGAGGAAATGCAAATTCCTATATCACCCCCCGGAGGACTAGCGCTGGGGGGCGGTCCTGGTAGCTGAGATTCCCAGAATCTAAGTAGTGAGCTACAATCTGACCCTTGGGGTGCAATCCCGGGCTCAGGGCTCGGAAATGGAGTGGGACTTCTGTCAAATCTTTCCCAAGGATACCCAAAAGTTTTGGCCATGGATCCTCCCTGCCTCCCGCTTTCCACCGTAATATCGCTTCCTATCAAACTGGGAGATACCCAGGGGAGGATCTTTTCAGTAGTATTGTCCTGGGCACCTGCTTGATCACAACCATTCGGGCCGGATTCTGGTACCCCCGAGCTTGGAAGTAGTTCCGCTGTACGGCCCTCGCTTGCCACTCTGTTTGTCTGCCCTGGTAACTTCGTCGAAGCAATTGTACAAATTCTCTTGAAGTGTTGCGATACGGGTTGGACAGCGACTGCTGGTTTTTCGATTTCTGGTTTTACTAGGGGAGCCTGGAAAAACCCTAACTCAGGGCCTAGCTCTGTGCCGACCAAACCTTGATTGGGAGGTGAGCAGTCCAGGGTGTCAAACTGTGAGTCAGGCGAGACAAAATGCGGAAACTTATTTGCCCCAGCTGGAGACCGGGTTCGATCCGTCATATTCGACTTTTTTTATATTAGCTCAGCAACCATTTCACAGGCCAGCGTAAATACCAATTCCAAAGCCCTCGTTAGTGAAGCGGGCCTTCCCCCAATACCCCTAGCCCTAGCTTTCCCAGGCACTAGCAAACTATCAATCCGGTCACCCCAGTTCTTCTCATGAGGGACCATGCGTAACTCCCTCTGCCCCGCAGCAGCAGTTAGATTTCTCCCTCGCTGTGACCAAGGGGAAACGATACTTCCTCGAATAACGCTTACGGGATAGCGTGGCTTCGGTGGTATTGGAACCGGATTATCTGTCTGGGTTATACCACTTAGGATAGGGTCCGGCTCGGAATCCTCCCGCGCTTCACATAAGGATAGAGATATTTCATCCTGCGGATCTCGTGAGAGGGTGAGGGAATTATAAGCCACATGGCGCTTCTTTCTCCTCTTTTTGGGAAACCTGGTCTCCAGCATCACCGATTCCCCCAATCTCCTCTTAGTAATCGGCCGAGTAGTTTCCTCGTCAGCCTTTTCCAGGGCAGCTAGTGTCTCGAGGAGAAAGCCATCCTCCTGACTCCCTTCCGGGGAAGGAATGGCTTTTGTGGCGGTAGCAGGAGTGCTTGTTTGGGTGGGCTTGCTTCTTGACTTTCGTGGAGTCCGATGCAACTAAAGCAAGGTCATTAGTTCTGTATAGAGGTTATGATATTGTGAGACCATACCCCCTTCAGGAACTCTCCCACCGATAGAATCTGAGTACTAGAACTAGCGATAATAGTTGAAGGCAGCCTACTGCGACGGCGCGACATTCTCGCGAAAGCCACCGCCGAGGCTCACTCGCGGCAATGACGACGGAGTTGATATAGAACAAGAAGGTTCGGAGGCGAACAGCCCACGCACCAAAGAAAAGCTAAGTCCACGCAGCCTCTCCAGAAAAATTACACAAACATCAAACACAGCAGTAATCCACAAGCACGCCCCTAGATTGAGCTATGGATTGCCTACCAAATAATCCACCTAAAATTAAGTTAGATGCTTAAATGCCCTTCCCTGAATTATTTACAGTAGACGTCTTACAAGAGAAAGCCATGCTGAAAGTGAGAGTAGAGCGAAAATTATGTATCAGACACGCTATGGATGCCGAATCACGATGCCCCAGTCACAACCCCTTCAGAAACGCCAAACACCAGTCTCGAAGAGCCAGCAAGAAATAGACGTCCTCAATCTAACTAGGCTTAGGTGTCCCGTGAGAATAGCAAGGAGTTCAAAACTCCTTACGGTAGCAAGTCCAATCCCATCCGGGCAAAAAAATAAAAAAATGCGTGGTTTCGTGTGCCCCCCGTTGTGATAAAGTGAGCACAGGAAAGGCATGGATGTTACAGAAAAACCGATATCGCAACCCTAAATTAGCTCATATGCCCCTGATCAGCAGCATCTCAGTTAAACACTGTTTATGATCATTTCATTGTCTCCACCACCACGATCAGCGGCATTACCACCCTCACCCCCTACTTCCGTTTCCTCAGTCACCAGTTGGTCGACCTGATCCTTCCCCCTGCACTTCTTGCTTTCTTCGGCTGCTTCCCTTCCTCCGTCCCTTTGTGAACTCCTCTTCTTTCTCACCCGCAGCCCCTCCTCTATCATCTCTCACTTCGACTCCAAATGTAGCTTTGGTTTCTACCCCTTCATCCTCACTCTTGATTACCTTCTTCTTCTTCTTCTTCTTCCCCTCTGTCTGACCCTTCACCCTCTTCAAATTTGCCGCCTCTCTCTGGCTCTGCGAATATGCCAAGGACCTCTGCTTACGAATGTCATAAGGATCAATCGGGTCAAAGACTTCTTCATCAATAAGTGCAAGTTCGCCTTCTTTCCCTAAATAGGTCCTAACAGTCTCCTCAAGCAGCACGCCTTCACTCAAATATACAAACACATCCTGTCAGCTCAATCCCAACCACGATATCAAGGAGTAGAGTCCCACCAATACCCAACAAAGCCGTCTCATCCATTGATCGATAACTCGCCGGTCCCATGCCATTCGCCTCATAAAAATCCGAAGAGTACTGATGTATCGCGATTAATAAATCCTACCACAGACCCCTAAATTAGCCCCCTCCGTAGCCCTCCCTCCCTCCCAGAGCAAACTCACAGTATCCGGCAACGCCTCCTCAATCCCCTCCCCGTAGGGAATCACCTCAGGCGCGTTCTTCCTCCTAGCAAGCACCTCATCCGCTGGCACGGCCCTCGTTGACCGCCGCCGGAACTCCCCATGCTTATCTTCGAATCCAGTTCTTATCATACCGGCATAATTCACACGGCTAGCGACGGCGTCGTAGACTGTTGCGTTGGGTCTTTTGATTCGCGGCTTTGCACTCTTTCCCATTGTAGATTTCGGGGGATCGGTACCCGGTGTCGAGCCCACCGGGCTTGTAGGTGGGAGAACATTTTGCGCCCGTTTTCTTTTGGCCATTTTGTCGCTTGTCTCCCCCCCCCTTTTTTTTTGTTGCTGTCCGCCTGTTTGTTGATCGTTTGATCAGAGAATTGTGGTTGTTGGAGGCAAGAGGTTGAAGTTTGCTTCTCGTTCCGACAACGATCCCCGTAGAGATGTTGTACAGTACCGCATCAAACAGTACCGCACCAGTCACTTGTGCCGTACCGCTATTTTGGTGCAGGCGTGGTTTTGATAGGCCGAGTTTGTCGCCCTGCAGGTTGAGTTGGTGCTCCCCTTCTTCCTCACAAGTGGGCATGATTACTAATCTATGCTTCTGCTGGTTACCCTCCTCTTGGAGACGGTTCCAGTGTGAGGCGGCTATTCACCATATGTCACTCGGAATATGGAACATTGATGCTGTTTTGCACGGTGGGCGCCCTATCAGAACTGTTGAACCTTCGATTCTGGCTGCACAGTGGAGCAGCCAACGACAGTGGAAGACTACATTCCTGGTAAATACTGTTCCCCGCTTTATCAGTTTGGGAAAGCCGAGCAGCAATCTATGATATGGTGCATTGTAGAATTCCTTTTTTTTTTTTTTGGCCCACCAGAGGGTGTCTCACTAATTCATAGGGTAGGCGATACGGTGTAATTAAGAAGGTGGTGGTGGGCGAGGGCGGGCAACAATTTTGTCAAATGCTACGCTTTTTCGGAGCGGGGGAGGGTGGGTGGATGGTATACCGGTACCAGTACTTTGGGTACGAGGAGCTTGGTACCGTGCTTGATACCCGGTGGGGAATCGCCAAAATTTGGGCGTTATGGAAACGCCGTTGGCACGGTGCCCCATCAACGAATTCGCAACCAGCTTTGTTTCGTGCCATACCGCGGTGAAATGGCTCACAACCAACATATCATAACTCGCAACCAAACCTAATAGATCCCACGATGCAAATATTTTAGGCTCTACATATAAGGCTGGGTCCTACACACCTGTAGCGCAGGCATTGTACCAACCGGCATAGCAACCACAAACCGGTCCCCGTATATTCAGCTTGCATTGCTCTGCCGTGGCTCACTCGGCGGTTTGGAGAAACTTGCACAAATATCTCGATATATACATTCTCGAGAAGTGCCAAATTATCGGGAAAATGGAGGGGAAAAAAAGAGGATCATCCATCATCCCTCGGACCAATATATGGCAAAGTACTCGTAGAGTAAAAGGAGTAGAGTAAGCCGCCATCTACTTCCTCCCAATAAGGAGAATTTATCAAACCAAGGGTACAAATAAAGAAGAGAGAATAGTGATGGTAACAATAAAAACTATCATAAAAAAAACTCCAGTCTAGTGCGAGAAAATGTGATAAATAGAATACTTTGCGAACCAGGTCGTGAACCGTTGAGTAACGGCAGGGGAGGGGGAATAAGAACAAAAGGAAAAAACTAGGAGGAATTCAGAAGAAAATACCGCCACCTAAACTATCCGGCCCAGACATCTCGATGCAAGACAAAAAGGCGATACGAAAGAGGTACAAGGAAGTGAAATATATATTGGTGAGGTGGGGGAGGGGGGAAGAACACAGCTCTAAAGCCCGAATTAACTGCTAGGAAGGAGGATGATAGGGTAGCGACAAAGGGAAAAAGATGACTTGTGGGAAGGCATTCTCGGGCAAGCTGGGTGAGGGAAGCGAGTAAAAATACAATAAGTTGCTTTGCGTTAGGATTTGTTGAAGATTATTCGGTTTACTTTGCTGGCTGTTTTCCTTGGGATTTGGATAAGAGTTTGAACTCTATTGTCACTACATCTTTGAGTGATACCTTTCCACGGCATACGGGACAACGGCCATGCAACTTATTAGTTGCGGTCGTAGAGGCTTTAATTGCGCCGTGCAGACAGAGGTGACAAAACATATGACCTGTGATGTGCCATTTCATCCATTCAGCCATTTTCCAATTGAAAAGAACGGGAGAGAGGCGGGGGGATGGGCTGTAGTAGTGTGCTCTCATACCGCAAGGAGTAGCAGCCAAATCCGTCGGCTCATCCTCCATACAGATAACGCAAGAGAATCCTGCCAATCTTTTATGTTTCCCATCGTCGCCTCCGTTCTGAACCTTCAGTAGTTCCTCCCTGCTCCTCTTCATGGAGAACTCATCGTCCTCTTCATGGCTCAGATCCACCTTCTCAATCTTTGTGAAACGTATGGGGGACTGTGAAGTCTTGCGTCGCTTGGGCGCTGGGAATGCCCGCCCGGCCTGAACATCCGACGAGGCGCCGATGGGAACTGTATCAGTCAAGTCAATCAGAGGGCCAGCCGGGCGTGAAGCTCTTCGAGCTCTGGATGTGTTTGGGGTCGATAATGTAGAGGAGGAGGTGGGGTGCTGTTCCATGGGGGTGGCCAGAGGAGTTGTGTAGAAGAGGTCAGGAGTATTTGTCCTATGTATGTTGAGTCGCGTTTGGGGTGATGGGAGATGAGTTTGTGTTTGTGTTTGAGCGAGGTACGAACCTGGTGCCGGGGATGGGAAGGGCCACATCGGTGTTGTCGGGGGGGGGGCAAGCGAATAGACAAGGCTGTAGCGAAGAAACCAGGAAGACGGGCAGGGCTGTTTAGGGGAACAATATTTCTTTAGTTCGGAGATGGCTATCGCTGAAGGAGGGGGAGATGTCCTCTACGGGGGTTAGAGGGGCGATATACCGGGCCTTGAAGGGTGAGAAACAATAATGGTGTTGGCGGTGGTTATGGGTGAGCAGTTCGCAGATCGAGAGTTATTGCAAGCTAAGCGATATCCGGCCTGTCGTGACAAGGAATTCGAGTGAAGTGCCAAGCCTCTGCTCCCCCTGCATGACTTGACCCATTTTTTGTGACCAGATTGTGATCAGAAAAGGACTCTCCACGGCAGTCATCGTATGGGAAGACGGTTACCGGGAACATACTGTACGCTTAGGTACAGTACTCGAGTACAGTAACGTATGTCTCGAATAATCAAATTAGGAATAAGAACGATTTCTGGCAATTTGTTTCAGTTCCATGGTGCATCTGCTTGCGGCTGTTTTCCCTTGCTGTCGCAGGGAGGGTTGAGTATCTCTCGTACAACACGGCTAGGTATTAGGAAGGTGAAGCTATGAGGGCCATCATATCCCCCTCTCAGTGTGATGTGTTGAGCATCCACCGTAAAACGGCGGGCTGGCTTGGAAGTAGCGTATGCCACTCCTTGGACACTACTCGAGTAATGCGCCGTACTCGGGTATGTGATGAAAAGGGAAGAAGCCGTACCGGCAAAGCGTACTGCACAGCACGGTAATTGTATCACACTTTGTACTCATACCAGAACAGGTACCGGTGCGGTACTCGAGTGCATCTGTGAAACTTGACTGACTGGGGAGCAGGACCAACCGCCTTGAGAGTGCGGGTACGGTATCTCATTTCAATACATACTGAATATGAACATGGGGCCCGGTATCGCTGTGTCGACAATTGGGTTGAATTAATCCGATAATGTTGTGGGTGATGGATTTGGTTGGGTGCCGATATCGTACCGAGTACAAGTACGAGTATCATACTAGTACTGTACCATCCTCCGCGCCCTCTATTCACCTCCCGATTGAAAACACTTCCTATTTGGGACGGTGAAAACTCTGCATTTTCCCCGCCGTGAACGTTACACAAAGCCTTCTCCCTACCTCGCTTAGGCTTCAAAGCCTCTGCACCCCAAACTACTCCCTCTGTGCTACGGGGTTTTTTCTCGGCACCAACGCATTTCACGTTACGCGATGTCTGCTCCTAGCCCCGCACCAAGGGTTCCCTCTGTGGGGCCCCAGCGCACCTCTTCCAGCCATGCCAGCAACAGGGCCAACCCTATGGGCCGGGCCTCTGCTCCCCCCCCTTCTCAAGAGGACGCTTTTAAGGCTCTCCTTTCCCAAGCCGCCCATGGCTTAGGCTGGAACCCAGCAGTGTTACCGTCTGTTTTTTCTCCCGACTTTGAGGAATACGACAACACTGATGAAGCAGTTGTTCCCCTCTTGTCGGCCCTCGTTACTATGGTGGGACATCTTACTGAGTCTGTTTCTTCCCTTTCCGCTAAGGTTGATGCCCTCCAGGCCCCTCAGCCTGCACCCTCTTCTGACACCACTCTTTCGGCCTCCCTCCGGGACCTCTCCTCCAAGGTCAACTCTCTTGCCTCTCGCCCCCCGCAGGCCGCAGTTCCTGCTCCCTCTACTACAGCCCCCAGGCCCAATACGGCGGTGCCAAAAAGGCTGGTCCAGTCCCTCTCCTCCCCCCGCACGGTCCCCTCTCCCGACTTCCCGATTCGGGTCGACGGCAAGTGGTATGGCAACCCGGAGACCTATGCGAAAGCGCACGAAAACACTCATGAGGCAATAGTCTACTACGCCTCCTTCCCGAACACGTCTGAATCGGCTATGACCAAGGATCGATTCCCCCTCCCTGTCGACAAGCACTTCCTCCCAGGCCCCCCGCCTGGGTATGCAGTCTCTGCCCCCACTCCTCCCTCCAATAACTGGGCCCAGGTGGCCAAGTCAGGAAGGAGGGTACCAAAGTGCGCCACGGCTGTCCAAGTCACGGCGGCTAGCAAGGAGGTCGGCCCAAGGGCCCCTCCACCGCTACCGGCTGCCCATCGCCGCTTTTATGCCCCCTGCCTGACCCCCGCCCCTCATGAAGACCCGGTCCACATGGCCGCTGCTCTTCCTGATGCCATAGCTTCTATTCTTCGAGAAGCTAAATGTGCTCATCCTCTGTCGCTGGCGGCGACGGTAAACCAAAATGGGGCGGTCACTCTAACAGCTGACCCTCATACTCCTGCCTCCTCCTGTTCTCCATACTTCTCGGCCCTGATGACAAAGTTGAACCAATTTTTCCCCATTGGGGGCAACCCTCACCTGGAGTTTAGAACTGCCCCAGTCCACACCGACCTCCTCATCCACAACCTTCCTGTCTCAATGCTACCAGGCGACCCCGCAGATCTGTTTGATCGGCTTTAGGAGTCTATTGGGTATGCGGTTGGGGCTACTATTTTTAAGGCCTGCTTCCTCCAACCTGACCCCATCCTCCATGCGACGAAGCTGACTACCTCTGTGGTGGTAGCAGTCTCACCCTCTGATATCCCTCTCTTTAGCGACCGCATTCGCCTCTTCAACCGTTCTCGCAAGATTCATCCTGCCCACCCGGCGGCTAGGGACACCCAGTGCCGCAACTGCTGCCAGTTTGGCCACTCTAAACCTCTCTGCAAACAGCCTTCTCCTACCTGTCCAATCTGTGCTCAAGCCCATGCCCGGGCTGCGCACCGATGCGAAAGCTCTACCTGCCCTGGCCAGGGTAACCTCAAGCCAGTGGTGAATTGTTGTCTTGCAACTCCAGCCCGCTGTGCCAACTGCCAAGGCCCCCACCCTGCCAATTCCTCAGATTGCCCGACTAGGGTTAGGATCCGCAAGGCAGCCCGCCCAAGCCGGGACCATGTCCTCCCAGACGCTGGTGATCTTCCATCCCCACCACTCCTGCCAACTACTCCCTCACGCGAGGCCTGCTCTCCCTCCCCTTCAGGGACGGTTCGACACAGTCAGTCAACCAGCTGCTTTCCTCCTGCAATGTTCCCAACGCCGTCTTCCCGACAGTTCCAGCCAACAATTCCTGGTCAGCTTCCCGATGCTCCTGCCCAGCCCTCCTCCTCGGCCCCGCTAGCAGCACCCATGCCCCATAGAACTCTTTTCCCTCCTCCCCCAGCCGATTGGGCAGAGGATGTTGATAACTCCCACGACCTTGCTGGTTAATGGAGGTACAACCTGCGCCCTATTTGCAAGATGCTTCACCACACCTGTCTTTTCCATCTGCCGCTACTGCGGCTAAGTTCTCCTGTGTCCAGCATAATTGCCTCAGCAGCATTCATGTCTTTCATACTTTGTTTTCCTTTTTTACGTCGGTTGAAAATTCTCCTCTTGTTGTTGCTCTTCAAGACCTCCCTCTCTGGAAGGGCTCCCGTCCAGCTGCTAAATCGTATAAGTGTTTTGTTCCTCCTTTTTCCCCCTTGTACAAGTCCAGGGTAGCAGTGTACGTCTCAGAACGTCTGTTGCCGGGAATTTTTGTTCTTCCAGTATTTTTTGACCAGGGGGACCGGATGGCTGTGGACTTCCACTCGCCGGATGGTGTCTTTGGGTCTGCTCATAGGTTGTTTCGCTTGTACAATTCTTATTCTGTTGCTGTTCAGGATGGCCGTATGCGGTCAATCAGTCCTGCTTTATTATTTCCAAGGCATAGGTTCCCTACTCTCTCTGTGGGGGACTTCAACATCCATCACCCCCTGGCCAATCCTGGCCGAGTTATCTCTTGCTCTGAACTCGCCACCTCTGTTCCCTATTTTTGGAGAGCGGCAGATTGTTCTTTCTCTCTGTTGAACACTCCTGGGGTCTACACCAGGTTTCCCTTTAATGTGGCACACTGCCCCTCTGTACTTGACTTGGCATTTACCAATGACCTTTTGTTGTTTTTCTTTGCTTCGTGGGACACCCCTCTGCAGTCGACCAGGTCAGACCACATCCCCATTACTATAGTGCTGGAGCCGGTAACCGCTAAAGAGTATCGTGCTGTTAAGAATCCTACCGGGTAGGATCTAGCGACAGGTAACAATACTTCTCTGTAAGGTGATAGCTCTCAGGCCTATGCCTACGTGATCCCGATAGTCCAGTCCTGTGACTACTATCGTATTCGCGCCTATCTTCTTATTCTTCTTCTTAGTCCTCGTCTAGGACTTAATGTCTCCTTGTGAGAGGAAAGACCCTTCTTGGGTTTCTTAAGATAAATCTTAAAGAGCATAAAGGTAGGTTTTATTGATAATAACTTAAAGGTAGGAAATAAACAAGAAGAACGTGTGAAGAGCTCATACTCGGGGTCCTAGTGACCCTTTATATAGTCGCTCTTCACCTGGCGTGACTCATACCTCTTGTCACGTGAACCCTGTGACTCATAATCATGAGTCATATAAAATCCATCAGACGACTCCTATGAGTTGCTGCGTAACATGCCTAAACCAATCAAAACATAATAACCAAATCAGGTGCGCAACTCGCGTTACCTAAGTAAAACCCATGACTCATAAGTATGAGTCATGTGCGAAAATCATAACATCGTGTGACTCACAACTGTGAGTCACAAACAGGTAAACATAATAACCTATGGCACACTAGTGTGTGTTATGTGAAAACCCAACATACCTATAACTCGGAAATCCGAGCTATGTGAAATCTGCCTTGCTTAGTTACAGTTTGTGATATTAGCTCCCCTCTCCCTCAGCCCGAGTCCCATCGGGCTTCAGTCTTTTATCCCCCATCCTCTTCCTTCGGGTAGCAGATAGTACCTATTTGTTCCCGTGTTCACCCTGACCACCCTGGCCAGAGTTTTCCTCGCTTCCTTCTCTTCTCTCCTCCAGTCGTTCTGGAGAGCCTTTCTCATATTTCTCTCTCCTCGCAACTCCTTTGTCAACTTGTCGTTGCTTCACCTCGTCCTCTCCAGCTCCTTCTTGAGCTCTTCTATCTTTTCCACCTGATATTCCAGCAACCTGCTGGTTTCTGCCTTCTCTGCTAACCACTTCATCTTGACCTCCTTCGAGGTCTCGGGTTCCGTCTCTTCTTCCATCTCTTGTTGCCAGGAAACTTGCTTCGGTTTCCTGGGCTTTGCCCATGGTTTTTGTTTTTTCGCCCCCCTTCTCCTCGATTCCGTCCTCGGAGTCGGTTCGATGTATTGGACCAGAGCCACTGGCTCTGGTGTGGGGGATCTCGTTGGTGTTGGGGATCTCGTTGGGGATCCCAAAGGTGAAGTCTTGGGGGGCCATCGATTCTCTCCTCGAGGCCAGTATCCCGAGCCTTCTTTCTCGCTTTTGTGCACTTGGCACTCGTCCTCGTAGCAACCTGTCCATGACAGGTTTGCGTGCTCCCTTTGGGTAGTGGGAGTCTTGGATATCGGTAGGTCCTTCAGGCTTATCCAGTCCTCGGGGTTGTATTCCATTTGTTCTGGGCTCGGGGTGCGGTATCCAGGGCTGGTTGGAGTGATGTGTTTGAACGCGTTGCGTTCCAGATTGTTCTGGAGTGACGCCCTCAACGGTATCGTTTCCATTTTTATCTGAGGCTGATGCCAGTTGTAGGTGTCTGTTCTGCGTAGTGGCGGGGCCACACATTCGGATTCGGGTGCATCTTCTACCGTGGCTTGACGGCTTGCTAGGGTATCGTTGATGGAATTGGCTGACTGCATTTTGCGCGTGCTCGAAATTCTCGGCTGGGTGGTGTAGGTGGTATTGGGGCGTGGGAAACTTACAGATTGGTGCAAGCAGCCTACCTCCCGACTGTCTACTATGGACTTGAGTTTGTGACCGACTATGGGTTGTATGTGAAACAAATTCAGGTCCATGTTAACCAGTGCCTTCGCTCGGTTTTCCGCACCCCCTTCAAGCTGGCTAACAATATTTTGCTGGCCGAGTTTGGTGTGCCGCCTGCTCATATCCAGGGCCGGTATTTACAGCGCCAG